ATTAATAATTTTAGGTATTATTTAAAAGAATTGAAATTTTATTCACATTGACATTTTTTATAGTAATAACAACCACACTCTCAAATAATACCTTAAGCAAAGAAAGTGATCATTTTTAGTTCTTTGGTCACTACGCACTATTAAATTATTTAATTCAAATTCTTTATTTACACCTTATACATTATTTTTTATAATCAATATTTTTTATAATTTTTACTTTTAATCAATACTTGTTATAATTTTAAATTTGTGAAAAAATTATAAATTATGAATAAAATCAGAATATATATAGAGAGTTTGATTATTAATTTTTAGATTTTTTACGAGTTTTAAATTATGAAAGATATCGACTAAAAATAAAAATTATTGAAGATATTTATCATAAAAAAAATAATGTGCAATGTGCAAATAGAAAATTTGGCTAATTATTTAACTGCTCCTTGTTTAAGCTTTTCATTACATCTTGCAGGTGGGTTGTTTATCTAAACAATCATGAAAGGTCATGGAGACTAGAATATTCTACCCCAGAAACCGTGGAATGTGCATAATTATGAGAACAGAAAAAATATTCGACGAGACGAAGAGGCTGTTGCTAGAGGTGCAGTTAAAGGAGCGAACAAGCAAGGAGAAGGGATGCTAAACTTGGATTTGAACGTCTCCGTGCTGCCCGTGGCTTGGCTCCTCTAAACAAAACTCCAGAGGTTGCAGCTGAGCCTGTATCGGAACCCAAGTCAGGTGGTCACTTTTATCCGTTTGAAAGGATAAAGATTTTTGACCCTATTCAGGTGCTGGAGATTGGAGAATGAGAATTCTGCTGAAAACGATGAAGAAAGAGGAGGCAACATCAAAGGTTGTTGGGCCTAAGGCTGACATGTCTAGATTGGGTTACGGTGTTGCAGGGATAGGAGTTTAGTTGCCATGGCATATGAATTGGCAAACCGATGATACGGAAGAAGAGAATGGTACAAGTGAAGGGTCATCTAGAAGAGCAAAGGAGGTAAAGAAAAGTGGGAAGAAGACAATATAAGGGTTCAAGGAGGGGGAGGGGAGGAAGAGGGCATTGTCATTAGAGGAGCCGAAGAGACAGCCAACAAGTTCTTCCTCACTTGACTCATAGTTCAAACCTGAGATCTTCAATTCTTAACCAATTGAGCCACCCCTTTAGAACCTCTTTGATGCATTACTTAAATTCAAATAATAAGACATTAAGTGAAGTAAATGAATTTCAATTTCTAACACATGCAGGATTTATAAAGGGTCTTCAACCATAGCTCAGTTTGAATTTATTTACAAAGTATACAACCAGACTTAGCAAGAGTATGAGTATATTAACTAATCCCAATCTGCATCAAAAAACCCAGCATCTCTCATCTCAGAGTAATATGCATTATCCAAAAGAAAATCTTCCTCCTAGTCATTAAAAATGTTGTGATTAGAATCAGAAAATTCCTAAAAGACTTTTTTAACAAATATAGTACTGATAGATTGATTACCTGGAAAAAATCTGCTAGGAAAGTTATGTACAGAAAAGGAAGATAAAGAGCGTGATAGCAGATAACGGTAAGATTGTACAACCTGCATTGAAAAGAAAAGCTCGCTTTCTTACTGGATGTGTGCATTCTTTTTTGTTTAATTGTATATGAACTCTGATCCATAACCAAATTTTCAACTGAAAAGGCAAAAGAGAGAACTTACCAAATGCCAATGCCTGCTCCAAGACCGGCAAGTCCACAAGCAAACATTGCAGTAGCATTAATGGCAAACATGACAATCACATAGTTGTGAAATGCTGGTCTGGCTGCAGAATTGGGAATGGAAGCAACATATATGTTAGAGTTGTAGACTGGGAGTTGTAGACTGGTTTGCTGGTTCTGGAATTTGGAAAAGGAAAGATACATGTTTAACTGAAGCTAATTAGTAATATACTCACAAGGTAACTTCTCTCTCCATTTTGAGAAATGCACAAACAGAATGAAGCCATAAACTGCAGTAAGTAATATATTGTGGATGATCCACAAGCCCCATTTCCCACGGTGAGAGCTCCCAACACCAATGAACAGTGGGACCCCAAATCCAAATACAAAAATTGCCTGCAAAGAGAAATTGAATAAAGCAGGCTGAAAATCATGGAAAATACAGGTATTTTAAGATAATGTATTTCACAATAGTAAAAGGTCAAAGACATGGTATTTACAAGTGCTTGATGTCCCTGCAGAGAGACCACTTCAAAATAGTCCCAAAACCAACAGAGAAGTTACCTCTCAAGTTACATTTTCGACCAAAGAAACTAAACTCTAAAAACTACTATTGTTATGCATGTTGAGCTAAAACAGTTCTTGAGAACTGATACAGGCTTCCAACAACTCTCTGGTAAAAAAATAGATTGAGGGCTCAGAAGTCTTAACATCCCTTACTGAAGTTTTGGTAGTGAGTAAGAAAGAGCTAAATTTAACAAGAAGTTTGCATTCATGAAAGGTTAACAATAGAAAAATTGCATTTAGGAACAAGAGGCTGTTTCCCAGGTTTCTTTTTCCTTTTCTTTTGTTTTAATCATTCAATTGTTGATTCTTCATTGGGTGCCTTCAACAAAATCATTCAATTCCTATTCCTCCCAAAAATTTTGAAAATTGAACTAGGGAGAATATAAGCAAAAGTTTCCTCCAAGTATAAAATATAAAACTATACTTGAATAAAAATTGAAAGCAGATAAACTGCATTTTTTAGGCAGATGGAAAATACCTTGAAAAGCATGTCCACGCCAACAATGATTCCTGAGACAATGAAATTATGTGCTAAAGCTTCCAACCCACTGGCATAACTTTCTTGAAGTAAGAAAGCAATCAGACTAACTTCCAAACACAACAATCCCGATGTGGTAAACAAAGATATGAGATTCCAAGCTACTTCCTTTGCAGGAGAGCATTGCCACGCCTGATCATTAGTTGAAGGTCAAGTGCAAATATAATTACAATATTTGAACACTAAAAGATTCAAAAGCAACCACTGGATTGTATACAAGGACTTCAATGTATCCAAAAAGAGAATTTAAATATACCAACTTCTTAAATCTATTCATCAAATCCTCAATAATTGAGCAATTTAACTCGCACCAAGCGCAAAACAACTCTATACTCCATATTGACTTCAGAATGAAACAAAACGTATGAATCAACAAAGAAGATAATCCACCTGTGCTCTTAGCCACAGGTCTCGGGTTCAATTCCTAGTCTCTAGGTATCAATAAAATACAGAGAAGATAAACAAGATTTGAGGAAAATCACCTGAAGACAGCACCAGGCTAGATTAAATCCGCTTGCGATCCAGAGAAGGGCGTAATAGGAAATCATAACGTACGACCTCCCATTGCGCAGCTTTCTAACGTTCTTCCTCGCGTGCACCGCCAGATACACCACGAAGAGCACCGCTGGCACCACCAACATGGCATTATACAAGACGCCGTGGCATTGCGACGAGAACACGGGATCGCTGTGAACCCTGTCTTCGAATTCGGCGATTGGAGGCGTGGCGAGGGAAGAAGTTGTGACTTGACGGAGATCCGTCGGCATCTACGAGAGAAATGAGAGCAAACCGAAACCCTAAGATCAAAGGCGAAGATTTGATGGTATGGATTTAATCATGAACATGAAAATCGAAAAGAAATCTGTTCTTCGATTTCTTGAATTTTGGCTTCTGTAAAGGAGATGAATCTTTGAAGAATTTGAGATTAGAGGTTCAGCTTTGCGTCGGTAATTGAGGTGAAGACGATGACCCTTCGCGACCTCATGTCAATAATAGCTGGTTCTTGTGATACACTGTTATGAAACGCCGTCGTTCTCTTCATTCCTACAATTCTGTCAGATTTCGTTATGTCCCCTTTTTCATTACCACAATAAAGGAACCTGGACGCAAAGAAAGTCTGTAATATTAAGGAGAGGGTTTTTAATGGTAAATAAAATCTTTGAATAATTAAAAAATAAGTAAAAAAATTTAAAATTTTCTGTAGCGAGAAATAAAATCAATTTTTTTTTTTTTATAATGGTTATTCATCATCCTTATGTTCAACGTTAACAATAATCCATTTTTTTCCGTTAACCTCATTAAATAATCCCAAACCCTTCCAGACTTATTTTTCTTAACCTTCTTAATATTTTGCTGCATCTTTTGTCGTAAACCGGTTGAAGTCTCCTCATCCTAGCAAACGAATGAAAGGAGAGCATTATTCCTCGTTCTGAATCTTCCGAGGCCATCCCCTCTTTCCTTTTGGTTGAACACAACCATTTTGATTTATCTGCAGAATGTACATATAAAGGGGGGAATTTGTTCATTATGCTCCTCTACATTTGCAGTAGGTGGAATAGATATTCTTAGTGGACAGTCAACAAACAAACAAACTCCAACTTATTAGAGGTTTACAGCAACATGTAAATAATTCAAATGAAGGGAAAAGTATCTAACATTTAATGATAAGTGTTATGTAGTTTAATACAGTTTGAATTATATAATATATTTTTTATGTTTATTTAACAAAAATATTTTTAAATTTTAAGAAATTGAAAATCACCACTTATAAAAATCGACAAAACCTACAACTTTAGCTTTAAACTGTGAGTAGGGATATATTTGTCCCTTAGAAAAAAATATAAATTGTTTTTTTAAATCATTAAGTTTAATAATCTATTATTTAATATATATGATATTATTATATATTAAAAATTTATTTATCACTTAAATATATTTTTAATAAAAAAATTGGTGTGATGATGTGTACATTAAATAATAAATAA